GTGTATTTCACTGGAGGAGATTTCCCATCTTTCACCCTCAGAGAGGCTAGTGGATTCAAACTGCCTGCCTTTGAGTTGGCAGCACAACTTCTTACCCACTAGGCCACCAGAGCTCCCAAGTGTTGGCAAAGGATATGGAGTAGATATCAGAACTAGTCTAGAACTAGTAGAACTATCAGAAGAACAAATAAATATGTCTTGGAAGGAGTACAGCCAGAATGCTCCTTAGAAGTGAAGATGGTGAGTATGCTAGCAGAAGGATCAGCCCAGAGTCATCATGCCAAAGACACCAGGCTGGTAAAGCAAAGGGCAGTCCTTGAAAAAAGAAGACCCTGTCTTAGCAGAAGGAGTTCAAAAATGGCTGCAGCAAGGAGCTCAAAACACAGCAATGATGGCACAAAACCAGGGACCATTTTGTTGTCTTGTACATGGGGCAACTATGGGTCAGAACTCCCTCAACAACATCTAATAAGAACAACCTGATGCCCTAAAGATCAGCCAAAAATAGTAACAAGTAATCCTACAGCACAACAGTTAAATGTTCAGCTGCTAACTGAGAGGTTAGCCACTCGGCCAGCTCTGTAGGATAAGGGCCTAGTAATCTCTTAAAAAAAAATTACAGCCAAGGAAACTCTATAGAACAGTTCTACTCTGTCACATGCTGTCACATGCGTCAGAATTGACTTGACAGCACCTAGCAACTATAACAACAGGCAGAAGTAGGCTTGGATTGTGAAGATGATAGAGATTGGGTTTGCACACTCCCCAGAGCCTGTGGGATCCTGAATCCCAGAGACTGAAGGAGGTTGTAAGAGAGTCAATCTGCACCCTAGACAAGGGCTGGCCAGGGGAGTTTTGAAAGTACATTCTGGAGAAGGTGGCTGAGGAAGTGACTCAGCAGACTAGCAGTTGTTTCTAGTCCTCTCTGGAGTTGGCTTGGAAGCCAGGTTGTGTAACTGGCTGAGGAATAGTAAGGTCCAAGGAGCAGGAGCCAGAACGCCCATGGTCTCTTCCAGGGCCCTATTTGATTGGCCAAGAGACCTGTAGCTTTGGCCTCAAGCTTCCCTTTTGCACCAGGTGGTCCTTCTGCAGGGACATAAACAATTTACCCAGGAAGTGAACAAGGTCAACTGACACTCAGAGGAATGTAAATTTGCAATCCAAACTTGGAAACAGGATGTCATTGAAGAACAAAGGCATAGAGGTGTGCAGGGCTGGGGGGGTGGGGGTGTAAACTTGAGACCAGAAGGTCTGTGTGTTGGGCCCCTGACCCTGGGGCTCCCTTTCCCACTCAAATTCTAAAATCAGTCCAAGCTTCTGAGATCCAGCTTCCTCCAGAATATTCTTCTGATTTCCTATCCTCATAGAGCACCCCAACATCACCAAAATTAATAAGCACTCCCCTATATTTCTGATGGTTATAGTAGTACAATTTTTGGTGAAAATCATACTGACTTACATTAAAGTGTGATTGGGGCACACTTGATGAGATTAAGTTTTTATAACAAGGGAATAGCTTACCCAGTGGGGAACCCCAGAGCTATTTTGAGAGAAAAGAGCTCAGTGACAGTTCCTCAAATTCCTCCTGGCCCACTGAAACCTAGAAAAGATTGTGTCTCTGGTGAAAATCTATGTGGCTGTGATGGGGGAAAGACAAAGATGATTAGCCTTGATAGAAATACCCAAAGGCCACAGCAGCCTCTAGTCTCTGTCCATGTTCATGTCCACCATGTAAACATTCAGGTGGCAAACCAACTGTTTAACGATTAATATTTGGATACCACACTCCACCCTTAAATCTCACTGTTGCCTAGTTCATTCTGACTCATTTCAAGCCTGCAAATCTTTATGACAGCAGACTGTAATATCCTTCTCCCATGAGGGGTTGGTAGATTCTGATGCTTGACATACTGGTTAACAATCAAGTACATAATCACTGTGTCACCAGAGCTCTCTCACTTCATCAAATAACTTATCTCACTTGCTTTCCAGTTTCTCTTTTATGATACAGGGAGGTATTGGACAGTTTTCCTAAAGACACAAGTTACCTGACCCCAGCTATGACAGTTTCTATGCTTCCATTTCTAGCTGAAGGCAAGGCCGCCAAGTCCCCACTTGCCAACAAATTGTGTCTAACTCATGGCTGATTTTTCAGAACCAGATCTCCCAGCCTTTCTTGTGAGATGCCTCTTAGTGAACTTGAGTCCCCAAACGTTCAGTTAGAATGCATTAACCGTTTGTGTTACACAGAGATGTCACTGGGTCCCAAGAAACAGAAAACAACTGTCATAAAAAACTGAGACACTAAGCAGTCAGAGGACCTGAGAGGAAGAGACAAGAGCCCAAACTAAACAGAAAGTCTCCAAATAAACCAAATGCCAACAAAGTGATTCCAGCCCTTCAAACCATAGAGCCTTGAAATGTGATTCCCAGACCATCAGCAAGACTATCAGCTAGGAAATTGTGAGAAATGGAAACGTGTTCTCACCCCAGCTAGCTTGAGCCCACACCCCTAAGGTAAGGTGTTGTAATCTGTACTTACCAAGCCTTCCAGGTGATCTCAATGCTTGCCTGCTTGTGAGGACCACCACTACCTCCACACTGGGTTCCTCGCTCTGCAGTATCTGCTACCACCAGCCTCTTTCCCTTTGTTCATACCATCCCAGCCCCTGGAGCACTCTCTCCAGTCCTCTCTGCCAGACCCAAATCCTGCAGCCCAAGACTCCTTGCACCACGTGCCCTGCTTCCTTCATGAAACTGACTCATGTCAATAGCTCCTTGAGCATGAGGCTTCATGGACCCCTCAGCGCTTACAGAGTCCCTGGCAAGCTAAGCATCAGAACCAAAGCATTCAGGGTCGCTTCCAACATTGTAATTATTTATGGGAAGAGACTGCCTATCTCCTGATACCTTACATACTACGCCACCAAGGTGCCTTGTCAAGTCTTCTTGTTGTTAGGTGCTATTATTATCTACAACTCATAGAAATGGGAGGAAGAATATCACAGTTTCCCCACACCACCTGCTACTCCAACTACTTAGCCCAAGGCCTGACCCTCACTGTACCTTGAGGAGGCCCGACAAGGTCCTGGTAAGACCTGACCATATCCTGGAAAGGTCACCTAGATGCCAGAGCTTAATTTAGCCCTGGGCCCAATCATATTCTGACAGGACCCCCGGCCCTAAATTCTTGAGCAAACGACCCTCCTCTCTAAACCTCCTTAACAGTCCCTATAAAAGGAAACTGTCTTTGCCTGCACGCCATTCTGGTCTTCTCTATCAGTAATCACCTGGTGTCCCTCTCAGGTCTACTTAATAAAGGCCTGTTTGCTGCTTGAGACCAGCTGCTTCTTCTCTCTCTCTCTCCTCATTTTTCTATCTAACAGAAACTCCTCTATGAATAATGGATCTGAACTTTGTCCTATCCTGTACTGTCTTCACAATCCCTGATACACCTGATCCCATTGCTTCAATCACTGTGTCAATTTATCTTCTTGAGGGTCTTCCTCTCTTAAGCTGGTCTTCCACCTTTCCAAGCATGATGTCTTTTTCCAAGGAATGACTCTTCCTAACAATATGTCCAAAATTGGTCTATCCATTTGCTGTACAAAGGTAACTTGTGGTTGCTGTGAAGCTGAACACTATGACACTGATGTGTCAAATGCGATTATGGTTACTCATGGTGGTCAGTGTTTGGTGGAGCTCCCTGATTAAAACAAGCTTGGAAGCAGGAGTGGCATCCACTTCCAAAATAGCTTGTCTCCAGAAACCCACTGAACTTGGAGAAATGATGTAAGTTATGCAAGTGGTCTTTCATTCATAGGTTGTTATGAGTTGTCAGCAATGCGACGGCACTTAACAACAACAACAACATGTCAGACAAAATGTCACGATCCTTGCCTGTAAGGAGCATCCTAACTGCACTTTCTCCAAAACAGGCTTGCTTGTTCTTCTGGTAGAACATGGGATATGCAGTATTCTTCTTCAAAATCACATTTCAAAGGCATTCATTCTTCTTTTGTCATCTTTATGCATTGACCAGCTCCCAGACGCAAAGCAAGTCATTGAACAGTGGCTGTCAAGTCTTAGGAAGATTATATAACCTCCTTTCATCCTATGCAAAACAGAAGCAGCTCAACCTCTATCTCAGAGTTGCTGTGAGGGAGCAGAGCCAACACTGGTAAAGTACCTGCACTTTTTCAGGAACACAGTAAATACTAAACACAACATAAAAGTCAGTTGCTGTTCAATAAGTTCAGAGTCATCACAGCACCAGATGTGTCAGAGTAAAACGGTGCTCCACAGTTGTCAGTAGTGATTTTTTTAGAAGTAGGTCACGAGGTTTCACTTCTAAGGGGTGTCTGAGTGGCCTCAAAACACTAACTTTTCAGTCAACAGATGAACACATAGTACTATTTGCATCACCCAGGAACTCCCAACATAATATAGATAATCTGAATTATACAGTTACCAGAAAAATAATAGTTCCTCTCTTTTGCAAAAAGCTTTCCATGCTTTACGACATTCCCTATAATTCATTCTTTCTTTTGATGCTTCTGAGCTCCCAGAGCATTGTCAGGACCAAGAGCAATGGACATACAACGACTTGAGGAACATAGGGACACATCCCATCCCACCAAACCCCCATGTTCATGCTCATGTACCATCAAGACAGAACTGACGCGTAGTGGGCCCTCAGGTGGATTTTTAGAGGCTGTAAATTGCATGAGAGGAAATAGCCCATTTTTCTCCCTAGAAGCAGCTGGTGGATTCGAACCACATGCCTTCAAATTGGCAACACAACTCTGTATCACTAAGCCACCAGAACCTCCCACACTCCCAAGGGAAGATGCTAAATGAGAAAGGCCATACTCAGCCACGTTCTCAGCACTGATTTTTTTATCTTTGGCACTGTCATGCAAACAAGAAATCTTCTCAGTTTCCCACCTCCCCAAACACTACGATTGAGCTGGATTCCTCCTTCAGTGCTCTGGACTTACCAAGAACAGAAAAGGAGTGTTTCTGACAGTCCCCAGCCAAGAAATAACTACAGTCTCCAGCAAAGCTGTACATGCTCTCGTCAAAGGTGTTGATGAAGTCATCTCCAAAGAGGCTGCATCGGCCCATGGACAGCTTGCCAAGAGTCCCTTCTTCACAAAGGATCCCTAGAGGAAGAAATCACAGGTGAGCACCACCTGAATGTCCCCCCACCCCCAAGCCACTTAGATCTTGCAGAAATGAGACTGGGACCTGTAGAAATTGGACCGTGAGGAAGAACTTTCCTTTTGAAATGAGCCTAAATCTGTTTCCTTCAACCCTAAAATATGACACTGGAGCACAGTAATAATGGAGAAATGCTTTTTCTCCATCTATCAGTTCTAATGGTGTTTATTTACTGACTTATAAAATATTCCATATTCATTATAGAAAATTTGGAAAAATGTAGGGAAATAACACAAAGAAGATGTTAAAATAACCTGTAACCTATCATTCAAAGAAAACTAGAATTACTGTGTAAGTGTTCATCTTTATATATTATTTCACAGCATATTCACAACTGAATTTTTTTACCAATTTGCAATAATAATGAGCAAATTTTATAATCTATTTTTTTCTTAATATGGTAAAAATTTTATTATACCATTTTCTAAACTTCTAAACCATGATTTTTAAGGGCTACATTATATCTGGCATCTGAATGTATAGAATTCACTTTCTAATGTTAGGTTCACAGCATTTTTCTGAATTTCTTGGTGTAGTGAGTAGATGGTGACAAGCATCCTTGTGCATAAAACCACCAATGTTTCTAGAACAAATTAAGTGGTAAGGGTTTATCTGACATGTAGAAGGGCCCCATATCCCTTCTATGTGGGCCTGACATGTAGAAAGGAAATACACAGGAAATGTTTGCTCTCCTGGGGTCATATGCCAACTCCCAAGGAGTCTCCTACCACCCTTGTCCTGTGTGTGTGTGTGTGTGTGTGTGTGTGTGTGTGTGTGTGTGTGTTGGCGGTGGGGAGCCATAGCAATAAACCTCTAAGTGTTCTAGGACTCACAGTAGATGATGCGTCTGGCAGGAAGATTCAAAGGGGCCCAGCAAATGTGCATTTTGTCCCAGACCAACCTGTGGGCAGTAGGCTGAATGCTGCTGGCCTCAGTGTTCTACGTGGCATGCCACCACCAGGAAAGTGCCTCTTGCCCATGAAAGAATCTCAACAAGTTAAGAAGGCGATGTGTGCAGTAGAAAGAACACATAAAGCAGGAAGTTATCAATGCCCTTAGCCTCCCTAACCTTCAGTTTCTTCATCTGCACCATGAGAGGGTCAACTAGATGATTTCCACAATCATTATTGTAACAAATATTCTATTCATGTCTTGGATTCTTTCCTCTTGTTCCGCTTCTGCTTCCATCATATAGGACAGTCATACGTGGCCTTGTGTTTCCTAGTTCCACAATAAGGAGAAGTTGTACACAGGGCGCACACTCCCTGGATGGTACAGGGTCAAGGCAGGGGGCCCTACAGAGCCTTCATGGGGAAGGTCAACTCAGCAACATGTGATTGGCAGTCCCAGCTCCAGCCTACCACAAGGGGATCGCAGGCATGACTGTTCACTCCAAGAAGGCCTACTTGTTCTGAATGGCCCTGGGGAGAGAGTGAAGAGTGAAAATACCTTGGTACTTACCTGACAAGGCAAGTACCAGCACAAGCAATGCCCTCCCCAGCAGAGCAGGAACCATCTACAGAGAAGCAAGAAAAACACCCTGGTCATCAATGTCCAGACAGATGGCTACAGGAATATACCTCTATCAGTGCATGGAATGGAAAAGTACTTTAAAGCAAGAGAAAAAATTGAACATCATTGTGCCCTGTTTTCCTGTTGAACATGGACTAAACTAAGACAAGTCCCTTCATGCCCACGCCACCCCCAGCCCCATTCAAAAAAAAAGAAAACTCCCACCAGGACCAAGCCTAAGAGTAACGATGGCTGTGAGCCAAGAGCAAGCGGAGTTCCTTCTCCTCTCTGTCCTCCAATCACTGTGGCCTCTATCTGTTCCCTATACTTTTACAAAAGCTGGGTAATAAGCACCTGATTCTTTCTTGCCTCTTCATCCTCCTTGCACCCTTGCAGCAAAATTTGGCAAGTACAAACTATCTTACATTCTTGTTCTGACCACAGACTTAGAAAAGGCTCAGGATCCGCTGACTCGACACTTTGCTTGTGGTAACCACCCTGTACCTTGAGAGCCTACAGAGCAGGGGCTATCTCACTCATCTCCATCCACAACAACCAGTGAGGTGTCCCGCACCAAGGAGATGCTCGGGAAATGCTGCCTGATTTAGCCCAACAAATGGACAGGAGTCCAGGGCAGTATCCTGGGGTCTCATCAGCTTTCCCTACTATGTGGTTCTCCCAGTAAAGAACAATTGTTCCTGTTTGGCAAAGCATACTCCTAAGTCCCTATGCTCTTTGCAACAGCCCTGCATCTCCAGAGAATGTAAAATTAATGTGAATCTGTTGGCTGGCATTCCCTGAGGCTACTCTTTTTCAACCTAATGCTCTCCCCAAACAAAAGCCAAAATGTGCCCAATCTACTACATCCCTGTGGAAGGAAAACTTTGCTGAGCAGATGTGATCAAGGTTTGGTCTAGTGATCTCCTTCCAAACTAGCAATATTGAAAACCCCTTGGAGATGAAGACGGTGATCTTTAAAAAAGAAAAAAAAATCTGTATTTTTAAAAATCAACTATATGCAATTAAGTGATTAGCAAAGGTGGAAAGGTAAGTAGATTAGTAGAAACAGAACATCCATAATAGAATTCATGAGAATGCTGACACATTGGGGGTTAGTGGGGGAGATGACACTAATATCATTGAACAGTTTGTGTAGAAGTTATTAATGCAAACTTACTATGCTGTATAAATAAATGCTCACCAAAAACACAATAAAATATTTAAAAATACAAAATCAGTCTTCAAGAGCGGTACTGACATACATGGGTTCACCTTGTTTAAAGCAGCAAATAGTTTGAGTTGCTTTTTATTTTTTTATTCTCAAAACCAGGTGCCCCCTCCCATCCTCTTGCAGCACAACAATATGTCAGGTTGCTCACAGAAGGTACATAAGGGTGAAGGCGAAACTCATTCCAGACTCATCTGAGTCGAATATTGTCGAGCAGCCAAGCCTACTGCATGAACTCAAGTAGCTACACGAACCTCAGAATCACCTGGGGGATAGGACGTTAGGATTGCCTCTGGTTTTGGATCTCCTCTCCAAGTAAAGCCCTTATAGTCCAAGGACAGAGTCCCAGCACTGAAGGTTAGTAGTTAGTCCTGCTTCTTCCCCCCACCTCTGAGCCAGCCCTTGTCCTTGAAGACCATACCTTTCTCCACAATTGGGGGCTGCACTTGCCCCAAGGTCTTTCAGGAACTCAGCCTCAAGATGGTACCTCAGCCTGTGCAGGCCCCTAGGCCATGCTCTCCAGCACCTGCTGAGGCTGGCTCGGGACTACTGCCTCTCTGAATGTCTTGCTATTAAGTGGCTCAGCACCACCTCCCCCCCCCCAATCCCTACAGCCAGGAAGGTGTGACATCCACCAGCCCACCCCCTTTCTCCCTACCACAATAGCTATGAGCTGCCACAGCAGGGGATTGGTCTCCTCTAATTGCCAAAAGGAAACAATGAAAGGAAATGATATTAGAAAAAAAACCCTCTAAGGCGATAAGGCTTTGAACAGTTTAGTGGGAGGCGTCCTGGCAGCTGTCTTAATGGACTGTCATGAGCCACCATCCACCCTCTACTCCCACAGCCACCCCAAGTCCCTGGTCCTCTCTGAATGCCCCACACTGTGAAGGCATGGTGAAGACGTCTGTGCAGCCCAGGGTGTGCTGGTCGGGCCAGAGCAGAACCCAGGACTGATCAGCACAACTGCTGGATCCAGATTCCAGGCTTGAGTTTCCAGTTATGGAAAAACATTCCAACCTGAGCCAATTTAATGCTGTGTTTATACGAAAGCAGACAGTGAACCTTCCTGCCCACATTAGGTCTGCGTGATCCAGTCTGAACCCTGACAAAAATCTAAGCCAAGTTGGACCTTGGCCAGCTTCTAATGGGTAGGTTAAAAATGAGGGCTCTGTGGTCACAAGCCCAGGCACATGCTAGGGTGGTACAGTTTGATCCCCCCCCCCCCCGCTTTTTTTCTAAACTTTTCATTCTGATTTGGGTGAATAACTTTTCATTCTGATTTGGGTGAAAATTTACAGAGCAAATTGGTTTTCCTCTCAACTATTCATATACCATTTATTTCAGGGTGGTTTGATTCTAATACTCCTTCCAAAGAACAACAAATCTCTTCTGATAAATTATGGCGTAAACAGCTGAAGCAGATGCTATGGAATGAGAGATATCATTGCTCATGTCACATGGATTTTGGCTGAAATCAGAGAATACCAGAATGATGTTTACTTGTGTTTTATTGACTATGCAACATTGTGGTAAAAATCCAGACAGTATGACAGGGAACCTGAGAATTATATAGCAATAGAAGCCCACCTCCATTACCTCATATCATACCACCTGAAAAGTTTGGGGAAGCAGTATGTCCTCAGTCTGCTCCTTTCCCAAGTCACATTCTTCACCACCCCAACTCCTTTTATAACCTTAGGCAAGGGGAATGAAGGTCCCCAAGAAACAAAAATATTCAAGTATTAAAATAATAAAAATTAACATAATATAGTAAAAAAGGCACCTCAGGATTTCCATTCCAGCATTTTTTAAGCTATGTAACCAGAAAAATCCTGCCAATACAAAATACCTGGATATGTGTTAAATAGAACAACTATTTCTATCAGATACATATATTTTGCTGAGAGTAAAATAAGGAACATTTCCAAGGATCCACAGGGAAGTAGGAACCCAATAAACATGAAGCAATGCAGGCCTAAAGGAGGTCGTCAAACTGAGTACCTTCCAAGCTTGAGGCTGAACATCGAAAGAACAAGGGAAATGAAGTTTGGGAGTTGCACCAGGAAGATAACTGGATCACAGACTCCTCCATAAAGCTAAAATCATTGGAAGAAAAATTTATCTTCCACAAATGGATAGAACAGGGGAGAAATAACTATCTACCATCATAAAAGTCTGTCTCCAGTGTTCCTAGGATAGAAAAAGAAGTTTTGTTTTCTCCCCAGTTTGTAGCCAATGGCCTATACTCATGTAGGCTTAAAGGATTTAAGGTCATACACAAGGTCCATGAGCTCTTGCATGAGACATTAACACAGACATTAGTCTTAGGCCAGGACTTGGGTCTCCTGGCATCCTGACAGACACTATACAGAATTATAAAAAAATAAAAAGAAAAAAGATAAATCTTCTTTCCAGGTTACTTATGAATTTTATAGTAAATATTTCTTAAATATGAATTTAAAATAAAAATTTAACAGTACTTGAAAAAACAACCCATTATAAGCAAAAAGTCAATTTCATCTGATAGTGACACTGTAATATAGAGTAGAATTGTCCATAGGGTTTAAAGCTTTAAATATTTTTGAGAGTAGACTGCCTCATATTTCTCCTGTACAACAGCTTGTGAGTTTGAAATTCTGATCTCTTGGTTAGCAGGCAAATGCTCTAAAGATCCTCCAAGAACATAAAATAATAGAGTGATCAAAGATTTAAAAAAAAAAAAGGAAGAAAAAGAAAAATGTCTAAAATTAGAATAGACAAAGAATCATGATTTAAAAAAAACAAAATATAGGGAGTAAAGAACAGAAAGACTTGAGAAAGAACTTTTAGAAATTCTCACATACTTTGGACATGTTGCCAAGAAGGACCAGTCCTTAGAAAAGGACATCATGCTTGGAAGGGTGGAGGGACAGCGTAAGACAGAAAGATTCTGGATGAGATGGATCAAGTCAGTGACTGGAGTAATGGGGGTAGGTGTGTCAGAGACAATGAAATTGGGTCAAGATAGGGCAGGGTTCAGAGCCTTTGTACATAGGATCACTATGAGTGTCAGTCAACTCAACAGCACATCACAACAACTACTCAAATTTAAAAACATAACAACAACAAAACCATAAATAAAAACATCAAGTATTTCTGATAAAAAATTAATGGAAAATAGATCTGAGGAAATTGCTTTAAGTAAAGCTATAGAAAGGGAGAGACAAAGACTTTCTCTCTTTCAAGATAAAGGGGGACTTAAGAAATGTGATAGAAAACTAAGATCCCAGATAAGTCTGAATTCCCCCTGAAGGAGACCCAGAGAATTTTAGTGCAGATATTTGTTTGGAAAGCAGGAAACACCCGCAGGAAAGTGGGGAATGACGTGGGGAAGGGAAAGTACCAGAAAAAGGATGTTTGTTAACCAGCACCACAGTGGGCAACTGTAGCTTACTCCCATAAGAAAATTCTAGGAAATAGCATGTAACACAGGCTTAAGAACTGTCTTTTTCCTTTGGTCAAGAGAACAGAGGCACTCATATATTGACTAGAAAGCTCTAGAGGCCTAGTGGTTAAAGAGTTGTGCTGCCAACCCAAAGGTACATGATTAGAATCCATCTGCTCTGTGGAAGAAAAATGTAGTCTCCTCCCGTGCAATTAACAGCCTCTGGATAGCTGCTGAAGGCTTAGGTAGGAGTTGGCTCTGACCTGAGAGACACGTAACAACCTTTTTACTATCTTCAGTTACTATTTAGGGTTACTGGGGATCTGGAGGCTGAGTCAACAATTCAAGC